GACGAATAATAAATTCATCGTTTCTAGCAGATTTTTGAAGTTCCATCCGTGGAAAATAAGCCTCTAGCGAGTTGGGAATCTGCACAACTACTACTTCCATTTACCGCCTTCCTTCGGAGGAGGAGTGAAAAGGATAAGGGTGGGAACAAGGAAAAGGAAGGGAAGGAGAGGAAAGTTCCAGCGCGCTAATTTTTTTTAAATTTATTTTTTCAGTCCTTTTTTCTGGAAAATTAAAACGATCAGAACCATCAGCAGGCTCACCATCAAGCAATGCAGCACTGGTCAAATCAACTGAATAAATTGCCGGATGCACAAATCGAGAACCAAATTGTGAATTACAGCTAAACAAAGTGAAAACGCTATTTCCCAGATACATATAGAGATATGAATTAAATGGGAGAAACAAACGAAGAAAAACGAGAATGATGGGGGCAAAAAAAGAAGAGGAGGATGAACTGAAAACGGATACCGAAAACGTTTCAATCATTAAATCGTGAACGTCTAAGCCAGAGAAAGTTTTCCTCTTTTTTTCGAGGAAAATTTGACAGGTGATATATTCTTTCAGGTAAACATATGTTTAGAAATGAAACAAGGAGCCCTGGGCTTTTTTTTTGAGCTGAGGTAGCAGCGACCTTTTCAAGCTGTGATCCTACAAACAGGTACTAACAGATTGTAGCACATATTCAGATGCGCATTAAGGCTTCATTCTGACATGACGGACATTATCACGACAGTATTCTCCAAGATTGTTTGTGAAAGAGGGACAAAAAGCTCTTCGACACGACTCCTGCTATCATTAAAACGAACGCGCCGGTGAGATCGGCTTGAACAACACTATGAAATTACCTGGATGCTCGGATCTGGGCGGAACAGAAGAACTGTCAGCGAAGAAGAAAAGTACCAAGGTGAAGCTGCAGAAGCTGATCAAAAGATTCGTTTTCGATTGGTCTTCTAGAAAAATCCAAAATTTAGATGCAAAGACAACAGGAAATAAAAATTTTTATGGAGGATTGAAGAATACAGATATTGAAGCAGTGAAACAAAGGCAAAGAGAGACTTTGTACAGTGAGGTATAAAACATGCATTATGATGTGTTTAATCAGTAAATGATCACTGTTCTGATTACTGAGATCTGAAGGACTGATAACTTGACTCACTGCAAAATCGCAGCCTATTGGACTGGAATGACATACTTAATTACAAGGTAGAAAGTTGTAACCCCTTCACATTTCACCATAAAAAAAATCTCTTTCAGAGGAATGCATTTAGAAATAGATTGAATGACAGCACATCACTAGTAAAGGTACTACCGGTTGCAAGACTGTTGACGGCCTTTCCTTTCGCGTATTGCTTAAAAGCGGGCTGATGGTGGAATTGACTCCTTAGCATATGCAAACACCAATTTACCATCGAAACGAATGAACGAATCGTACAGGCCGTGGGGACGAGGAAGGAGGGGGACCTTCCCTCCAAGCGCCATCAAGGAGGGTGTAGTGTTAAGCTGAACTACATTTTGTAGAAACCAAAAAACAGTACAGATTTGAAGCCTGATTATCTATCCAGTCCTGATGACCCGAGCATCATTGCTCTCCCTATTTCTTTTCTCCTTCCTCCCGTCCGTC